ATGATAGCCAAGGTTTTATGCCGGAACTCGGCACGTTGCTGATCTTGGCCATGCCAATCCAAATCCTGTTCTTTGTGTGAGCCACAAGTACATATCCATAAGTTTAGCGGTATATGAGGACAATATGTAGCAACTTGTATATAAGAACCACTGGGATATTTACTGGAACGACCAAACTTGATACCGAAATGACAAAGTCTCATTCGTATGATGCTCAGCTTCAAATCTTCGATAACATTTTTGATCGGACCCTGTTTCCAGAAATACCCGGGTGGCCCCAGGATGACAATCTGCATTCTCACAGCACGCGCTTTGATCAGGAGATTTTGTATACGTTGATACTGGGGTCACGCCCTTTTTCCTGGAGTACGAACGTACCAATCAGAGGGTGTGGCCACCCACAACATATTATAGTCTCCTGCCAACAAGTTTCCCAAATACTGCGTTCCAGTTGAAGTCATTACCTCATTATGGGTAATCCGGTCACATATATAGCCACGGGTTCGGAATTCAGCGCAAGCTGTGCGAATATCTTCGATGACGAGACATATTGAATGATATTTTTCCTCTCGGGCCTCAGCGCGGCCAACGTATGTAGCGAGGAGGCCGGTATTCGGCTTCTCTTCGCAAGCGAGCGCCGCCGGCGCGCCCGCCTGCCCCCGTCAGCGGCTGTCGTGAGACCAAGTTGCCGCTTGACTCGGAGGCGTGCTGTTCGCGGATGGCTCCGCAGGAGTCGCTGGTGTGGCCACGCTCGCAGACAGACTCGGCGGGTTGTTCTCAGAGATGTCAAAGTATTCCGTCCGATCCGTAGCGTGACCCACGATCTCCGCTCTCTCACCTCGCTGGGTGATGGCTTCGAGAGTGTCCATCAGCTCGCGGTTCGTCATCCCGCGGACGTCCTCAGACGACAGCAGGCGGGTTGGCCCCGCAGAGTCCGACGAACCTCCGCCCGTGTAGCTTGGTGGTGGTGGCGGCGACGCGGGCGGCCCCGCTGGATGCAGAGGGGTAAACTCCTCAGGCGTCCATTTGCTCACCGCCTCCTGGACTGCCCAGAAAATCTTGGACTTCAGGGCGGCCTTCATGTGTGGCCGTATCATCGCCGCGTTCTCAGGAGGTGGGTGCCAAGTCCCTTCGGGACACTGTCGGCCCTCCCACCAGCTGTTCAGCGTCCTGTTCACGATCAAACGGGTCGTGTCCTCCAGGAGCTGCTTGTCGATATACGGCTGGACGATGTACGTATCGGTCGTGAAGGTCAATGTCCAGCTGTTGGTAGATGTACGAACGAAGTCCTCGTGCCTATTCGGATTGGCGAACTGTCCCGTCGCGGGTGGCCCCGCTGACGCGTCGGCGGGTGGCCCCGCCGCAGCGGGTGGACCCGCACTGGCGGGGTCCTCTTCGTTCTCCGTCTCGGTGTAGCCATCTCGACTGCTGCGGATCGTGAAGGTGTTCGTGACCGTGTGGCTCTTGGCCCCATCGTACAGCCCGCAGGGAATCGCGAGATGTCCTGAGGGAGTCTTCTTCGCCTTCAGGACCTTGGCGCCTCTTCCCAGCTTCAGGGTGTAGTCGCCGCTGGGGAAGATGACCTTCTGGTAGCCCGGCCACAACACTATGATCGTATCACGTGCCTCCATGGCCCCTAGGCCCCAGAAAGCCGGGAGATTGGCGCCCGAGCCTTCTGCGATGTTGGAGGCATACTCCTCAATGCGGGGGCTCGCCTCGTTGGCGCACTGTACCCCGATCTTGAAGTTGCCCATCTTCCGACATATCGCAGCGCCCCCCCCCAACACCATTGATGTAGAGGGTCTTGCTCAGGGTGCAGATGGCAGGTCGGTAGTTGAACCTGGCCATTATCTCCTGGAAGGTCCGCGCCGCGTTGGATCCAATGATGTTCACATTAGAACCAATGTCCAGCATGAACGAGATACAGGGCATGCCATCTTCATCAGGAAAGAATGTCCCATTGCGCGCTGCAAGAGCGACCTGTACGCCAGTGTGGTCGTTGGTGTGGTACGCGATCTGCGATCCGAGCGCACCCCTCAACAGGCGCTGCTCAAGAACCCGCTGAGTCATGGTCAGCTCGGTGCACCACATCTGCTCGTGCTGGCGGCGCTCCTCCACAGTAATCGGTTCCTGCTGGAGGACCCAAATAGTTTGCAGATAGCGTGGACATCCATTCGCCTCTTGGTGGCAGCGTGTCAGTATCGTCACGCACGTAGGTCAGCCCTTCTGTGTCGATCATGAATGTGGAATGGAACTGGGCTGCCTCTGCGCTCTCAGCGCTTGCCCGGCTTCTGGCGCTGACCGGGGTTGCCACTCGAGAGGTCCTGGTCGATCCAGTTGGCCTCCGAATCCCGCCTCCGTTCCTGCAACTTCGCCTGATGTTAGCCTCCGTGTTCCTCAAGAAACCTGGGTTTGGAGGTCCGTTAGCGGGTGGCCCCGCTTGAGCAGCGGGAGCCGCTTCAGCGGGTGGCCCCGCAGCTGGGGGGCTCTTGCGCTCGGAGCGTGGGCAAGACCGGCATCTGAATGCCTTGTTCTGGCGCTGGCCAGGGGTATGCCTGTGCAGCTGGGGCACGTGCGGATGGCTCCGCCGATCGTGCGGCTCGAGCCTCCAATGCCTCCACTGCTTCGCGTAACCGACGCATCTCGCGGGCATCTGCAACGTACCTCTCCTGCTGGCGCGCTTGGTCCGACTCCGCATCGCGCTGTCCAGCATACGGGAAGTGTGCTATCACTATGCCCGGTCCACGGCATACGTCACAGGGGGCCTCATTCGGCGCACCTGGCCGCTGATTGCGGACATGCTGCTGTGCAACACGGTCCCAGCATATGTCGTGGAAGAAGTGCCCGCACGCCAGTCTCCACACTGTAGTGCCCATCTCGTGGTTGTCCATGCAGATTGGGCACTGAGTGAAGTTGTAGTCTGAGATGACTGGAGCAGGCAAGTCAGGGCGAATCCGAGCTTGGCGCTCGAACGTGGTTTCGCCCTCCTGATATGGCGTCGGTGGCGGCCGCCTTTCTGGCCGTTCAGCAGGTGGCCCCGCTTCCGCGGGTGGCCCCGCTTGGGCCTCGCGCTCAATCCTTCTCTGGATCGCGCGCTGTTGGCGCAGCCTAGAGTTGTCACGAGCCTGCTGCCTGGATGCCAGTATCGCTTGCTGCGTGTTGTGCACGTCGCGGATGTAGTCTGGCATGCTGCCCATAGCGGCTGGCGCCGCGAGACCAGCTGGCTGGACTATGGTCTCGGGGTCCGTCGGCGTGGGCATGTAGGCGTAGTGTGGCATAGACTGCGCATCGACCGCTCGTGTAAACTGCAAACGAAACATATCATTAGCTAAGTTCCGAGTGTATTCGTTCGCAGGTGGCCCCGCAATCATAGGAGTGTCATTTATCTGCGCGTAGTACTCAGGGTACATCGGCGCGTCCATGGCCGGCGCCTCTGCTGGACCGTGATTGTCCCATCCGTATATCGGGTGTGATGCTATTCCTGGAATAAACACCTGTCGATATGGATTCGTGGGATCAGCGTTTGGAGCATCTTCAAAAGTCCAACTCCAGAGAGGTCGGAAGTCGCCATGGCTTGTGACGTCTATGTTGCGGTTCCGCAACAGGCTGGGCACTCTTTCCGCTTGTTGTTGCAGAAAAGTAGCCTGTGCTCTTAAGTTAGCTGCCCGACGTTCGTAGTCTGAACCTTGCTGTCCGTCAGCGGGTGGCCCCGCTTGAGCGGGTGGCTCCGCAGGCGTTCGCCCAGCGGGTGACCCCGCAGCCGCTCCTCCTTCACTACCCCTCGGAGTGCCAAAGGGAGTGGTTGCTTGGAGTGCTGCCGCGAGTGCTGGATTTCCGCGAATCGCCTGGAGTCTTTGCCACAAGCTGTTCTCGCTCGTTTCAGACGGCGGAGTCCGGAACGGCGAGCCACCATCGGAGCCGCCCATAGGGACAAACCTCGCACCTCCAGCCTGCTGCGGAGGGCGTTGTGGCTGTGGTCCTAGGGCGCCTGGTGGCCCCGCAGGAGTGCGCAGGTTCCTCTGCTGTGCGTCTTGGATACCTGCCTGCACTGCCCACGGGTCAGCACGGTATAGCTGATCGGTCAGTCCAGAAACGTCGGCTGGTGACAGGTAGCTGTTGAGGGCCTGGACCCATGTCTGCTGGTCCGGCCTCCAAGGATATGCTACTGCGGCTACTGGCGTGACCACTTGCTGCCATGAACCATCCGAGGTGTCTGCCGCGGGTGTCCCCGCTCCTGCGGGTGGCCCCGCCTCAGGCATGACCTCGTCTTCCTGGGCGTTTATCACGAGGACTGTCTGTGTGAGGTACGGTCGTGGAGCAACGTCTTGCTCGGTCATGGTCAGGTTGAATGGGCGACCGCCCGTCTTAGTCCATCCCTTTAGGTACATGGCGTGCTCGTCCATCGCACCCAGAACTCTGTTGCACATTTTAAGTGGCAAGTAGTCCTCGGAGCAAATCCTGTCCGCGGGTTGGCCCCGCTTCCGCGATTTGTCGTAAGCCAACGGATTGCACCGGGCTTCACCGACCCGATATTTTGCAATGCTCACAATCTGAAAGATATGATCGGGCGGTATGCGGCCATTGTGGCCCCGTGTCATGACGATGTCATTCGCTGACCTCCATAAAGAGAAGCCGCTGGACAACATCTTGCTGATGCTGCAGAAGATGAGCACCTCAGAGTCAGGACGGATGCCCGACTGAATCCTCGGGTCACCCGGGATGTAGGGGCAGCCGTGAACGAACTGGCGCCCCCCCTGCCCCTTAGGGTTGTCCTGTGTGAGGCATGAAAGGCCATTTTCAAGGATGCCCTTAACATGCTCCCACTGTGTCCCGTGGATAAAGAATACTGGGTCATCTGGTTCCTTCATCCATGTCGTGATGGGCTTATAGAGCGACTCTGGGCAGTGGATGCCTGGGCTGCTATGGCCGCTCGTGGCTCTGATGAAATATTGTGGCCTGTGTGCCTTTGGTCGGAATCTGGGAGGTAGCGTCATGCTATCCTCGACGCATTTCATCTGGAGCCTGCCCTTCTGCATGCCATGGTTGTCGATCATCTCGCAGCAGTTCAGCAACGCCCAATACACGTATGAGCTGTGAGGGTTGCCCTTGATAAGCACATCGCGCATGTCCTGGTAGCCTGTCCACTGATTGTCACCAGTCCAATTTGCCAGCAAGTCGTCAACAACAACCCAGCCATCGTATGGATCGAAAGTGTCAATATTTTCGAAGTATCGGCTGAATCCATCTTTCCAATACGGACCATGGCGTAGGGCTGTAGAGAACCATATTGACACCTTGGCCATTTGCCAATCGCGCGGCAGAGTCGGATCTGTGTTGATCCTCTTCATGACATTCATGAGCTCTGCCTTGTGCTGCTCGACGCGCAATGGCGGCCTGTCCCGCAACATATTGCCCACGACTTGTTGTTCACGTTCCCCTTCGTTACGGCACTCGAAGTTACGACGATCGGGGCAATCTCGAGTGACTCGTGGGTTTATGGTGCGTTTCGGGCCTTTGCCTTCAATGCCTTGCCAATATTCAATGGCTCCCAGAGGGATGTTCTTGAGAACAGACGACGCTGGTTGCCGACGTGCGGGTGGCCCCGCTGCTGCAGCTGGCGCCGCTGCGGCTGCCGAAGCAGCTCCAGCGGATGACCCCGCACCAGGGCGCGGGTGACCTTGGTCAGCCAGCGCATCGTCGGCTAGTTTCTGTCGGTTGTCAATTTCTTTGAGGGCTTTGCGGCGTTCTTCTTCTGAGGGAGTGCCTTCTGCGGGTGTCCCCGCTGCTGCAGCTGGCGCCGCTTCAGCGGGTGGCCCCGCAGAGCCCTCGTCCTCCTTACCTTTGGCGGCTGCCTCTGCCCGCACCGACCTCAACCCAGCCTCGGGCTTCGGTTGTGCTTTCAGTCGTGCCGAGCCTGGTCGTGGTGCAAGGCGCGGCTGATGCAGAGTTGGAGTCCAGCCACCTCGGAAGGCTGCCTTAGGCTGGTCGCGATCTTCGTCCTTGACGTCGCCTTGGGCAGCCGGTGGCATCGGGGCTGATGGTCCAGCAAAAGCCTTCCTCCTCTCCGTCACGGACGGGCCGGTAGGCTCTCCCGGCTCAGGGTCGTCCTTCTTGGCGATCCCTCTGGCCTTCGCACGCCCCTGCGAACCTTCGGGGCTCTTGGAAGGAGACCTCTTCTCAGGAGAAGGTGGAGGCGAGGAGTCGACCACAGGTACTGGAGGTGGTTCGATGTCTTCGTCGTCCTCTGGTGGTGGACCAGGAGGGTCTTTGGGAGGGCCTTCTGGCTGGCCATGATCATGGATGACCTGCCTCATCTGGTCGATGTTGGCACTACCTTTTATGGCCAGCTTGTACTTGCCATTTTCGTGGCGGTAAAGTACCCTCGTGCAAAACCACTTCTGCGTCGAGGAGCTGTAGTGCCAGCAAGCGCATCCATCAGGGAATGGATTCTCTGAGCCGTCTTCCGCCGCCCATTCTTCGTTCAGTTCGGTCTGTTCAGTACCGGCGGCGGATCCGGCAGCAGATGCAACAGCCATCCACTCTTCGTCCGCGGACCCAACGGCTGGCGCCGCGCCCGCGGGTGGCCCCGCACCTCCGCTGGAGTCTGCGGGTGACCCCGCCTCTTCATGGAATCGGCGGTTCCATTCTTTGAGGCGATGGTCTTTAGGAAGCTGTTCCCAATTTTCCCTGACAGTGTCAGCAACCTCCTCGGTCATAGGGACGCGATCGGTTTCGGTAATGCGCTTTCCTCCTCCAGGGACCTTCTTGTTAGGATCGTGGACGGTGCCAGCGTCATCTCCATGAGACCAGTTCCAGGGGGTCTCACCGTGATGAGGGCTCCTGGAGGGGCGGTCCATTGGACAGCCGCGCATGTGACCTTTGAAAGGCTCGCATTGACATACTTGTTTCCTGTATGTCTTGCGATCGTTGATGATATCCTGTTTCTTAGCCTTTCGGTCCCAAGCCTCCGGCGTTTTAGTATTGCCACCTTTGGTGCGTATTATGATGCCATATTCGTCCCGTTTGCAATGCTCCTTGGACCACCAGTGGCGGATCACGTCCATCGGGTAGCCGGGGTACCAATTGATGTACCACTCCGGCACGTACTGAGCGGATACACCTCTGGAGTGCCCCGTGCTGTACGGGTAGCCAGATGCATCATGTGTAGGGCGTCGTGGAGCTGAACGGCTCCTCCTGCGGGTTGGCCCCGCTGACGCACTGCCACATTCCATGGGCTTTTCATCTTCATGACGGTGCTCTGGATCTCGAGGTGGCGATGGTCGTCTGTTCTTCTTTGCATTGCGCCTGTCCTCCGAGTCCTCTGAGCTGTCCTGGACCATGAATACGTGCTGATGCGGGCTTTGGAAGTACCCGATGTCGGTCAGCTGCTCCATAGTGAGGTCGTTGAGGTCCATCTGGTCGCAGCCCTGCGTGAACTCGTCCATTGACCAAGCGGGTAGCCCCGCTGCTGCAGCTGGCGCCGCTTCAGCGGGTGGCCCCGCTAGGGCCTGGAGTGCGGTCAGCATCTGCGGTGCCGACATATCAGGATCCAGGTATGGACGCAGCCTTGCGGCCCCTGGGCGCGACAGCAGGTCGTTCAAGGTCATCTCCTGATGCGCTGGCGCACTCAGGAGCTGGATCGCTTCTGCGACCTGCTCTTGTTGCCTGTCCTCATAGTCCTCTTCGGCCTCTTCAGAGTCAGAATAAGCTGCGGGATGGCCCCGCATTTCGTCGTCAGCGCCTCCCGCTTCCGAGCCGGCTCGCGAAAGATCAGGCAGCAACGGCATGCCGATCACCTGCGGTGCCAGCGCGGCGGCGAGCTCCTCCTCGGTCGCCGGGACGGTCTCAGCTTCGGAGATCTCGTCGTCGGCGGGTGGCCCCGCTTGGGCCTCGCGCTCAGTCCTTCTCGTGACAACACTCGGCTGCGCCAACAACGCGCGATCCAGAGAAGGATTGAGCGCGAGGCCCAAGCGGGGCCACCCGCCGACGACGAGATCTCCGAAGCTGAGACCGTCCCGGCGACCGAGGAGGAGCTCGCCGCCGCGCTGGCACCGCAGGTGATCGGCATGCCGTTGCTGCCTGATCTTTCGCGAGCCGGCTCGGAAGCGGGAGGCGCTGACGACGAAATGCGGGGCCATCCCGCAGCTTATTCTGACTGAAGAGGCCGAAGAGGACTATGAGGACAGGCTCCAAGAGCAGGTCGCAGAAGCGATCCAGCTCCTGAGTGCGCCAGCACATCAGCAGATGACCATGAACGACCTGCTGTCGCGCCCAGGGGCCGCAAGGCTGCGTCCATACCTGGATCCTAATATGTCGGCACCGCAGATGCTGACCGCCTCCCAGGCCCTAGCGGGGCCACCCGCTGAAGCGGCGCCAGCTGCAGCAGCGGGGTTACCCGCTTGGTCTATGGACGAGTTCATGCAGGGCTGCGACCAGATGGACCTCAACGACCTCACTATGGAGCAGCTGACCGACATCGGGTACTTCCAAAGCCCGCACCAGCACGTATTCATGGTCCAGGACAGCTCAGAGGACTCGGAGGACAGGCGCAATGCAAAGCAGAACAGACGACCATCGCCACCTCGAGATCCAGAGCACCGTCATGAAGATGAAAAGGCCCATGGAACGTGGCAGTGCGTCAGCGGGGCCAACCCGCAGGAGGGGCCGTTCAGCTCCACGACGCCTTACACATGATGCATATGGCTACCCGTGCAGCACGGATCACGTCCATCGGGTAGCCGGGGTACCAATTGATGCACCACTCCGGCACGTACTGAGCGGATGCACCTCTGGAGTGCTCCGTGCTGTACGGGTAGCCAGATGCATCATGTGTAGGGCGTCGTGGAGCTGAACGGCTCCTCCTGCGGGTTGGCCCCGCTGACGCACTGCCACGTTCCATGGGCCTTTCATCTTCATGACGGTGCTCTGGATCTCGAGGTGGCGATGGTCGTCTGTTCTTCTTTGCATTGCGCCTGTCCTCCGAGCCCTCTGAGCTGTCCTGGACCATGAATACGTGCTGATGCGGGCTTTGGAAGTACCCGATGTCGGTCAGCTGCTCCATAGTGAGGTCGTTGAGGTCCATCTGGTCGCAGCCCTGCATGAACTCGTCCATTGACCAAGCGGGTAGCCCCGCTGCTGCAGCTGGCGCCGCTTCAGCGGGTGGCCCCGCTAGGGCCTGGAGTGCGGTCAGCATCTGCGGTGCCGACATATCAGGATCCAGGTATGGACGCAGCCTTGCGGCCCCTGGGCGCGACAGCAGGTCGTTCATGGTCATCTGCTGATGCGCTGGCGCACTCAGGAGCTGGATCGCTTTTGCGACCTGCTCTTGGAGCCTGTCCTCATAGTCCTCGTCGGCCTCTTCAGAGTCGGAATAAGCTGCGGGATGGCCCCGCATTTCGTCGTCAGCGTCTCCCGCTTCCGAGCCGGCTCGCGAAAGATCAGGCAGCAACGGCATGCCGATCACCTGCGGTGCCAGCGCGGCGGCGAGCTCCTCCTCGGTCGCCGGGACGGTCTCAGCTTCGGAGATCTCGTCGTCGGCGGGTGGCCCCGCTGGAAGACCGAACCAGGCGTTGAACGCGCCCTCGTCGACTTCGTCCCAGCCGTGGAACTCGTCGAAGAGGGTCACCGCGTACTCTTCCAGGGCTACGGTCGCATCAGCGTAGCGGGCCATCACGTAGTACGTGGAAGAGCCCGCGGCGGGAGCCGCTTCTGGATTGACGTAAAACTCGTACTCAATGTAGTCTATGTCATCCATAAAAGAGTTTTGAACCAAATGTACGGATCCCTTTCCTTCCCCTTCGGGCAATGATCGCGCAAATGCTCTGTACTACCGCATGTATGACACTTCGTAGTGTTGCCATAAGCGTCCCTAGGGTTACCCCTCCGCCCTTTTCCCTTACCAGAGGTCCGCCTGTGACCCCGACCTTTGCCTCCGATAAGAACTTCTTCAAAAACTACATCAGTTAAGGACGTGGGGAAAGCAGTGATACCCCTACCACGCATGCGGCGTCTAAGACCCCCTTTGCCACGACCCTTTCCATAGCGTTTGAAATATCGGCGTACTGCACGTCTCACTTTTCTGACCGGTTTCTTCAGAATGCGCCTCCAACGGCGTTTTGATTTGCGATAAGCCATAAAAGCGGCTTCCGCTCTTTGTTGTTCAGAAAGGTGAGTGTCATCAGCTGGATAGTCATTGCCAGCAGAGACCATACCATTGTGATCACCGTCAGAGGAGGTATCTGTGTCACTGCCAGATTCAAACGGAGAGGGTGGCTGAGACCCTTGAGCGGATGACTCCGCTTGGCCCCAGAGGGTTGTGCCCGAGGGCGGGCTTGCAGTGTAGGCGGCGCCCGGCGTGTAGTTCGACCAGGCGTTCGCCTCCGCTGCCTCTGCCGATGCCTGGCCGGTCTGCCCTAAGAGGGCAGTGGCCTCGTTGGGCATATCGGCTGAATCAGCCCAGGGACTTGGCTCGCCAGGACCAGCGGGTGTCCCCGCAGTCGTGGCGTAGACACCTGCATGTGCGTGGTGCCCTTTGAAGATGCCCGCCATGTTGCCAGGAGGGCGCTCGGCAACATGCCCGTAGTGCGTCATCCTGGTCAGCAGCCTATCATAGTCTGCTTGCGTTCTGGGCATCTGATGATTGAAGGGCTCCAGCAGGTGTTGGGCTCGTGACGCGCCAACGCCTAACGCTCTGAAAAGGATCAGCGTTAGGATCTGAAAGTTGGGGATGACAAATCCAACAGAGTTAGCCTCGTCACGGGCCATCTCGAATCGAGCTAACACTGAGTCGATTCGCTCGCCCCTTTCGACGCGAAAGTCGATAAGGGCAGTGCCAGAGTTGAGCTGGCGCTCATCTTCCAGATTTTCAAATTTGGTACTCAATAGATAAAGTATATAAGTAACTGCATCCGTTGGCTGTCCGTTGACATTTACACCATAATTGATGATCTGGGAGGGGACCTGCATGGCGATACGACGAGCAAGGCCTTGAAGACCACGTTGTAGTGCTGCAGCTTGCTGAGGTGGCGTCATATTGCCGCTCGTCACGTTTATCCATGCATGTACTTCGCGAACGTACTCGCGAAAGGGCGTAGTACCGGCTGGGTCCCAAGAAGGGCCGGTAGTACGCGTGTCGTCCATCCCCTGCCGCATGTAGCCCACAGCACATCCCATTATCACCCATAGAATGCCGAAGATAGTTATCTTGATCCAGTGCATGTGCATCTCGGCTTCGGTGATTGGTTTAGGCTGTGGTTTGTCAGGCTCGGGCGTAGTAGCCGTAAGGCGCCTGACCGGCACGGGATGCAGGTGGCCCCGCTGCGGGTAGCCCCGCAGAGTGACCACGTTCTCGATCGAGTTGCCGATTGGCATATGGTGGAAGTCGGGAGTGAAGTAGCGCAGTGAGGTAGGAGAGAGCGTCTCGAGCTCGCGGGTCGCCCCGCTAGCCCGATCGCGCACTGGCTCCGCTCCTCGCAGAGCCGGCGCAACATGGTATTCCACCGTAGTAGTAGTCCACCAAGTTGTGCCGTGGATGATGGGTATTAGAGCGAGAGCCAGCCACACGAGAGTGTAGCCAGCTCCGCCACCAAGTCGAAAACGCACTGGTCAGCCAAGATATATGTTCCGCCTTCGGCGCTCCCATATCCCAGGCTTTGGCTCATACCGCATGAGCAAGAGAGCAAGATGAAGCATGGGATCTGGGGTAAGGATAGAAGGGGCATCTTCAATAGAAAGGTCTTTTCCGATCTCAGATGCGAGTAGTGCGCCTCGGTGAGGCACAATCACATGTTCGGCCGGGCCCGGCTTGAGCCAGGCACGGCAGCGGTGCATGCTCGATTTACATCTCGCCTTTAACCCTCTCCGTTTAAAGTCACACCACGAGGAGCCCGAACGACTCACACGCAAGGGGGCGCCCGAACGACTCACACCAGGACGAGGGGCCCGAACGACTCACACCACGAGGGGCCCGAAGGACTCACACACCAGGAGGGGCCCGAACGACGCACGCCAGGACCAGGGCTCCGAACAACTCACACTACGAGGAACCCGAGCGACTCACACACACTGAGGGGCCCGAGGGACCCACGCAAGGGAGGACGAGGCCCCCAAAACGCCCCCAAG